GCCAACCTGCACCTGCGAGCACTGGGAAGGGGCCATTCCTGGACCCCCGTGTTTCTGGACGACGGAGACTGGCTGTTGCTGTCGCACAAGATGGTTTTAGAGGACGGCGAGAAGATTCGTTTCGCGGGCCTGGATGCTGATGGCATTCCGCTTGTTGAAGTTGCCGGTGGGGTGAACACGGGAGAGCTCGCCAGATTCATGGACGATCCAGAGCACCAAGAAGAATTGAAGTACTTGGGCCTTCCTGCTGACGTCGTGCTGGAAACCGTGAGATATGGCGGTGTTGTCAACATGGCGTGCCATGGCACCGCATGGAATGAGGGCACTCTTCCCGACTTTGTGCACAAGCTGACAATCGTAGATGGCTCCGGGATGCGCCGCGACCTGGCTAGGAACAAGACGGATCCCGAGGAGTTCAGGGCTGCTGTAGCGAACTTTGGGCTGTTTGGCATCACGCACTCCATCACCTTCAAACTCGCTGCTCACCCGGAGACCCCCAGCCTGCTGGTCGAGGACAAGCTCGTGCCCATGGACACATACCTCACCCCTGAGGGCTTGAATGGCACTGCGCTCAAGGATTTGGCGAACGAGAAGTACTCCGTCGAGGTGTTCTGGTTCCCCTTGAACGGGGCAGATTTATTACAAGACCTTTCGGACTGGGATGCCTTCAGGCAAGACAAACTGTGGGTGAAAACGACCACCCTGAGTGCAAACCTCGAGATGGACGGCAAGCCTCGGGAGACCTTCCCTGATGCGGCATCCCAGTACCCGTCGGTCGCCACGTTCCTGGCGAGCTTCGGTTTCCAATTGAATCAGTTTCTTCAGATGAACGGCGACGTGAGCCTGTACAAGCACTATTCGGATTTCGCTCTGGACCAAGGTGTGGATGAAGGCACAAAATTGACCTCCTTTGCGGGTGGCATCCACTACCAGTTGGGGATCGATGAAGTGAAGGTGCTGGATTTCGAGATGGCAATCAAGCTGGATAAGGATCTCACAGTTGTCAGCCAGGCATGGAATGCGGCCGTCAGAATCGCGAAGGCGTATCTGAGGGGCGAACGAGGGGAGCCCAAGCACCCGATGAACATCGCACTGGAGTTCCGATTCACGGGGCACAGCGATGCGTTGATGTCCCCGGCCTATGGCAAGCGTGGCGACCATTTTGTGTGGATCGAGGTGCTAGGGGTTACGGAGAGTGAGGGATGGCAGGAGTTCATGAAGGAGATCTTTGACGCCTGGAAGGTCATCTTGGGTCCCAATGGGGAAAAGCCCAAACCCCACTGGGCTAAATGGACTCCCACAGAGCACGAGCAGCTCACGGAGATCGGAGAGTACGCCAAAGAGGTGTATGCCGACCAAATCGCAGAGTTCAACAAGCAGCTGTCGAAGTATGACAGCGAGGGCGTTTTCATGAACGACTTCTTCAAGGCGCTTGGTTTTGGCGCTGATGATCGTTAGAGCTGAGATATTCAGTGGATCGTGGCCCGTCCTTCATGCACTGTGACGCATATACTGACACCTGTATCATTTAGTCACAGTAGACATCGTGATCGCCATTATTTAGTCATCTCTGAATGTGGTGGAAGGACAGCACGAGCGGCAGCAATCGCTGCAAATGATATTGTTGGGAAAAGACTGCCATACATTATAATGACTGATTGATCTTTTGTGCTACAACATCGAGTGCATTGTTGCAGATTTGCTTTGGCAAGACAATGAGGCTAGAGTTGAGATAGCCACAGGTACAACGTAAAATGAGCATTCATGCCGCGAACGCCAATGTAAATTCACCCCAACAAAGACATTCTGAGGTAGATGCTACCCTCTTCTGAAGAGCGATTTCCGTTACTTAGGCACATTTCCGTATGCGTTTCACATGATCCTGATCACGTGCCAATCAAACTAGGATCCCAGCATCGATGTGTCCATTCGATGATGCTCCAAACGCAAGCACCCATGCCACGCGATTTCTGCAGAATTTTCTCAACACCTCGCATCCCGATTCCAGCTGATGTGTACGATGTGGGCTAATTCCGCATCCTCCCGCCTCAAATCCTCCAACACTTCGTTGTCGAAGCCCCGGCGCTCAGCACATCGTCAACTCAGCATGCCGCTCACCATTCTAGGCCAGACTACTGGCCCTAAATCATCTCTTGTAGCTCTCTACCTTTGCCGTGATGCTTGGCAGTGAAGCACTTGCCTCCCGTGGCACCAGGTCCCCTTGACGCTCCCCTTCAGTGTTGATGACGCCCACGGCCCCGATCTCCAGCAGCTTCTTCTCGGCTCACCGAATGGCAGCGCGTTTGCATGCCTGATATGCAAAATGACTGACTCAGTCACTTTGCAAAGGTCGGGGACTTAGGAATGGGCGACGGGATGTCGCAGAGAACCCGAGCATGAACTTTGGGCAGCGATTCAGGCAGTATCTCAACGTATCCATCCGCTCGTTCCTGCAGCACGGCGCAGAATGGCGTGCCAAGGCTGGAATGACCCTCGGGTGGGATGGCAAAGTGGCGGACGTTCTGGAATCCCCCTCTGCAAAGCGTCCAATATTCGTCCATGTCCAGCAGCCCCTTTCCCGGCAGGCTGTTCTGCACAATGGCATGCACGCCTCCAATTTGAATACAGGCCTCCCTTTCTCTTGAATCTCGACGAACTCTAAGGAGTTTTCCTGATCCAATTGGCCATCAAGTCAGTTTCAGCCACATGCCTTCCTGTTCGGGCCGCCAATAATGGGGCTCATCAGGAAAAAATAGTCTCTTAATGATAATACTCAGTGGGCGCCCCGTGAGGTCCAGAAGTGGGGAGAGCGAGTGTCGACAGCCTGAGCACCTTCACTAATATGAACATTACTCAACAGGTTGGTGCATAGTAAGGCGGGGCGAGCCCGAAATCATCAAGCAGAGGTGCATACATTCAGCAAATTAATGCTGTGAAGGTTGATCTGAGTTCGGATTTGAAAGTGTCAATGGGCTGCAAGTCAATTCTGCCACATGAATGTGTCATCCCCATTGCATTCAGAAGTTTTCAATAGGCGTTTGTTAAGAAAGTGCATCAATAGAAGTTGTTTTGGCCACGATTTGGCCAACCTGTGTACTTTATGAATGGGACCCCCGTTTATGATGGAGGGGGCAGCCCCCGTCGCGGTCCACCAACGGAGCACGATGAGACGGAGCCAAGGGGGGCGTGTAGAGGCGCCACGTGGCTGTGTGATGGGAATATGACCCGTGGGGCATTGTGTGGCTGCTGACCGCAGGAAGTGAGGTGTACCGGACCAAAGTGCGGCGATACGATGGAGTGATAGAGAGATTCCAGGGAATCAAAAGGCTTTTGACAGAAAGTGGAAGTTTAAATTACTGTAAAATATGCCATAAGTAGTTGGGACAAGCGGCTTTGCATGTGCTTCAGGAGTTGTTGTTGGATAGATGAGCAAACTGCGTTGATGCTATAATTGCCCACCCATTGGCTGGAGTCTTATAAGCCATGGTGCTCAGATTATGTCCCTACATATCCCGCAAGTGGCAGCAAGTGGCGACCGGAGCTACAGTGAGAGCAAGGGGTGATTGGAGCTACCTGGGAGAGCATATGGCGATCGGAGCTCCAGGAGGGAGTCGCTTGTTCGGTGGTAGTCCATAGGCCATTTCCAGTGGCCAAAAAGTTTGTGGCAACCATGTGGTTGTGAGTGTGAACCGATTTGTGTGGTTATGGTGGATCCGGGCATGACTACTGACGGTTTGTGAGAATGTTTATGGCATTCTTACTGATGTTGGTTGATAATGGTGCCACTATGAGAAAACTATGAAAATTGAGTTGTGTTGTACAATTTTGTGGGTTCTCTAGGTAAGGGTTACTAATATGCTCAAGGCCATGCGGTGAATGTTGTGTGTTTTTGCTAGGGTTTTAGACAGGTGATTGAAATTCAACCACCACTATTGAGGGCCGGTGACAGGTGCGAGGAGGTATCTGCAATGTAAGGTCCAGAACCCAAGGTATGAGAATCCTAGCATTTTATGGAGACCAATTGTATTTAATTGAGACACTAAGGGTAGGGTGGGTGGGGATGGGGGGGGCTATCATTTATATGCATCGCGAAGTCCCTGCAAAACTCTACAAAACCCTTAAGAGGAAAATTGACAATAGGGGGTTCTTCTGCGGGGTCGCCCGTAGTAGGACCGGCTTGCCGACTGGTGCCGGTCTGGCGCCGTTTTCGCAAGATGCCTCATGTGTAGGGAGCGGTCAGAGAAAACCCTTTTGTCAAATGCACCCCTGCAGAGGACCCTTTTGTCAAGATATCTCACAGGGGAACCCCTTTTGTCATTTTCCCATAAAATTAAGTTGACACCCTTTGCTTTTGCAATCCAGTTTTGGGTAGACTGTGACGATCCTGACATGGCTGCCTCCTCGTTTCCTTGGGAAATTCACGGCCATGGGGTGCTTGATATGTAGATTTATTGATCAGGCAACCGCATGGCCATGGATTTCCCAAGTTGAAAAGTAGCTGCCATGGCCATTAATTTCTCAGTTGAAAAGGTAGCCACTTTTTGAAAAAGTGGCTAACTTTTCAACTGAGAGGCCCTGACAGCTGCTTGCGTCGACGAAGTGGCCGCGTGGTGGCCACTTGCATGGCTGAGTACTTGCTGCCACTCCGTACTTTATCGCGCGTGCGTTTTTTCAACGCTGGTACCTCTGTTGGGTGCTGGGGCCTTCTCCTGGTTGCCCGAATACGAGCGATGGGACGCCGCTCCCATGAGTGGCTGTCCATTCCGCTCGCTGTCCTTGTGGCTGTGCGGCAGCGCGTTCGCCAGGGCCCCGTTTCTCCCGCAACTTGAGATCCCGACGCCCTTTTGCCGACAAGCGACCCCATCGTCGACACCAGCATCGTGCGCACACGGCCAAGTGCTTGTGTCAACCGCATCGAACCCTTGCCGCTGCGGCGGCTGGAGCCCTGCCACGGGGTGGCATTCGCTGGGCACCCTCCGTGTGCCGCCGACTGAGCTGCAATGCTGTGGCTGGTGCGCCAAATTCCTCCAGGCGCCTGCGGTATGGATGCGCCGTGGACGCCGAGACTGCGTCGGACGGTCGGTCAGCGTGTAGTTCTCAATGTCACGACGGGCCTTACCAATTTTTGAACATTTGCAGCTGATGGGGCTTGTTTCGCGGAATTTTCGTGGACGAATTTTCGTGGATTCAGCAGCTCAGTCTTTTTTGCAGTTTGGAAACTGGCTTAGCTCTACGGAAAGCTTGGTGCAATATGGCGCGTGTCTCCCTGTGGGGTGGACTGCACACGAAGCACTACAGCACTGATCACCATGCTAAGCTTGTGGCCAACATTTTGGCTGTAGCTTGAACAGAAACAGGCGCACTATGTTGTGAACAGTCATTGTGTCCCTTCACATCGTTGCTCAACGTTTGAGCTTCTACTTTAATGTGCAAAAGTAGAGTAGGAAAGACTACGAATTCTGCAATTTCTAAACTGGTCTTTGACATGTGCTGGTACCCATAATTCTGCCAACCCTTGGCAATTGCTGGCTAATGTTTGCAAGCTTGCAGGACATTCACCGCCCACCAGTCAAACCAACTGTGCACTACTGGTGATGATAACCAGCACCTAGACAAAGGGGAAACGAAGTGCACAAGTATGCACTCATAGCACATCTAAGTGAGCCACGTTGATGAAACCGCATGTGGAGACCAATCGTCTCATGTACTGTAGTGGTGTTTTGTGTGCAGGTGCGGAGATGGTGTGCTTGACAAATATCTTCCTCATCGTTGGACTACTAGCTACCTCTCTGAAGGTATGGGTCTACTATGGCATCCTGTGACCTGGGAATGGTGGTGCTGGGCTGAAAAGTAGTTTCATCACTGATGGTGGGATTGTGCTGTCTCAAGAGTATGCCAGCATACTCTGAGAATTGATTGCCAACTCTTGTACTCCCTGGAGCTGCTTTCCTCCTTTCCCCTTTCTGTGGACACTGGCAGTTCTTTTAAGAAATGCAGCAGCTGGGAATGGTGTTTGACCTCATGTTCTGCAAGAATGCCGCTGCTAGTCTTGTGTTGTGGACATTGAGCAATAAGGAACGTAGTATTGAGCTTGTTGCCCAAGGCGATTGACAGAGCCGCCAAAAAGCAATCATGGAGTTGTTGCAGCTACCGATGAACGCTGTTAAAAGACTGGAATGTTGTCTGCTTCCTGGGTCACTCTCGAAACACGCAACGAAGCTCTCCTTTTCGTTGTCCATGATTTGCGCCCTTCACAACTAGGAAAAGGTGTTTGTCAAGACACCATCAGATCGTTTAGACTGGGGCGTGGTCAATCCCTGTGTTACATTGTGGTTGGGCTTTATGCCTGTGAGCAGTCATTTCCACGATTCTCCAAGCTGAGCAAGGTAAATATCCTTTACGGGGGGGGGGGGGGAAGTCGATTGTCATGCTGTGAGTGTCAGTGAGCTCCGTTGCAAACCATTCTGCTCAGCAGTTGACCCTGTGGAGCACAGAAGCTCACATTCTGCAGCAAGTAGGCAATCAATGCTACATTTGCCACAATTGGGTTGCCAATAAGACATTACTAAGGTGCATATTTGTAGAGAAACAGAGGGCCTACAACCATTTTCTCTTCTCTTCATGCATAGCATTTACGAATTAGAACAGTTGTGCCAAGAGTATGTGGCCCCAGCTGGTTTTCAAGTGTTGTTTGACTGCGGCTGCTTCCTGTTCTTGCGCAGACATGCCACAGCTGTGAAATTCTTCCCGACGACGGCAACTTCACTTGTGGGAATGATGGAGTCCTCAAATTCACCAATTGGGCAATGAACCTGGGAGCAGTGGAGGTTGGAAGGGGCATCGCATCTGAGCCAGTTACTCTGCAGGATGTACAAGCCGAGGTTGCAAATTTCCTGCAGGTGCGGGCAATCCAAAAGTCGTTCCAAAAGGACCTCAACATCCGCGCCCTGGGACGGGGCCACTCATGGACTCCTGTGTTTGTGGATGACGGCGACTGGCTGATGCTCACACACAAGTTCGCTTTTGATGACGGCAGTCGAATTAGGTTCTCTGGTCTGGATGAAGATGGCATCCCACTCGTTCAGGTGGCAGCTGGGGTGACAACGGGAGAGCTTGCACTGTTCATGGACGCCGAGGAGAACCAAGAGCAGCTGAAATACCTGGGCCTTCCGTCCGACGTAATTCTAGACACTGCAAGATATGGTGGCATTGTTGCCATGGGATGCCATGGTGCCGCATGGGACCACGGCAGCGTGCCTGACTTTGTGCAGGAACTGTCGATCGTGGATGCCTCTGGGGCACACCGTGTCTTGTGCAGGAACACGACAGACCCTGTGGAGTTCAATGCTGGTGTCGCAAGCTTTGGGCTGTTTGGAATCACACACTCTATTACTCTGAAGCTTGCCCCCTACCCAGAGACGCCCAGCCTGCTGGTTGAGGATAGTGCACCACTGATGAACACATACTTCAGCTCTGAGGGCTTGGTGGGCACGGCCCTCAAAGACCTGGCAGAGAACTCTTACTCAGTCCAGGTCCTTTGGTTTGCCTTGAATGGTGCAAGCGTGAACCAGAGCATTCAGGACTGGGACCCCTACAGCCAGGACAGGTTGTGGGTTAAGAGGACCACCCTGAGCGCAGCCCTTGAGAGGGATGGCAAACCTCGCAGCACTTTCCCTGGGGCAGCGAAGCCAGGGCCGTCACTTGACAGCTTTGTTGAAATGTTTGGTGCCCAGGCCCAACAGTTTCTTCAGGCGGCGAACAGTGTGGAAATATACAAAGTGCTGGCCAGCTTCAGCCTGAATGAGAGCGTGACTGAGGGCGAACAACTGACCTCGTTTTCAGGTGGGATCCACCACCTGCTGGGCCTCGACGAACTTAAAACCATGGATTTTGAGATGGCCTTCAAGTTGGACACAGGCTTTGATGTCGTGAGCAGGGCATGGAACGCTGCTGTCGATATCACGAAGGCGTTTTTGAGAGGCGAGCGTGGTGAGCCCAAGCACCCAGCAAACCTGGCACTCGAGTTTCGATTCACAGGGCACAGCGATGCACTGATGTCCCCAGCCTACGGCAAGCCTGGCGACCACTTCCTGTGGATAGAAGTGGTGGGAACGACTGAGAACGAGGGATGGGAAGAGTTTGTGAATGAGCTGTTTGATGAGTGGAAGGTCATTTTGGGGCCGAACGGGGAGAAGCCCAAACCCCACTGGGCCAAATGGACGCCAGCAGGGCGAGCGAAGTTGCCTAGGGTGGGGGAATACGTCAAGATGGTGTATGCCGAGCAAATCGCGGAGTTCAACGCGCAGCTTTCTGGGTACGACCCCAGGGGAGTGTTTTTGAATGACTTTTTCAGGGATCTTGGCTTTGGGGTGGGGCAATAGGGCCAGGCAGTGTGTTTTTGTATCAGCACACGGGACGGTGAAAATTTTATTTGGTGTTATTGGTCACAATATGGACGGAACGTTGCCCAGACGCCTGCTAGGAGACGATGACGTCATCATGTCATCTTCATTGCTTTCTTGTGCCAGATGCGCTGGGCAACGCTGCCTGCCCAACTCTGTGGCAGGGGTTGGCAGGAGTGCCAAGCTCGCATTTTCTGGGGCATTTCCGCTAATTTTTTAGCGAAACCGCGGAGTTGCAACCCTTTTTTGTTTGGCCAGGTGCAGTTGAAGAACATCGAACTGTGCCTAGTTGCGCTGAACCTAGACGTGTGGCAGGAACTGCACAAGCATCAGATCCATAGCCCAGGGCAGTTTTTATTTTGACGTATTTATATTAGGACAAGCGGCATTGATGATATTTTTTATGAGACGGTAGGGCTATTACCCTTCCTCTGTTTTGCCAGATATGCAGGGGAAGAATTTGGCTATCCCAAATTCAGCTGAAGCCGGCTGTGTGGTGGGGGCTGCAGGGACTCGAGACTCAGAGCGCGGGGTAGAGGGGTGCAATTTTGGGTGACGTTGTGCTAGTAGAACCCTCATGTCCTCTGCGCATCCCGTCGGCCAACTGCCTTCTTCCTGGTGTGAAATAGCGAACTGAAGAATGTCATGCCATTGGTCTCGATGTAAATGAGTCGGCACCCGAATTCATTGTAGACTGTGTGCGACGTGCGCAATAGTGAGAGGCTGTCACTCACGGCTCATCCAGTGACTAGTCTCTGCTTCTATCAAAATGGCGGCAATGACGACGTGGATACAGCAGTAACATAGCGCAACACGCATTGCAGAATCGATAGGCCGTGGCCATTCATCGCATTTGACGCCATCCATCTCTACTTTATCGCGATGATGTGCTGGTCATCTTCGTTGGGGAAATGTGGTCAGCTTGGATGCCAAATAAGATGCGTGCGATGCATGTCCGAGATATCACAACACATATCTTGTAGGGTACATGTCCAGGATACGGGGCTTATCGCCAAGGTGCCCGCATCTAAGGCATGTTGGTCTCGTGCCACTGGGAACTACACTGGGCGCGCCCGCCAATACCCCCCGCCAGTTTCAATTCTTCTTGTCTCTCCAAGTCGGTCATGAGAACCCCAGAATAAGCCACGTGTAGAGCATACGTCGATGCCACATTTCCCGCGCCAAGATCCTGCCTTCCAATTTGTCTGGCCCACAGCGTGAAAAGCCCTCCATAAATGTTGCAGTGCTATGGCTGTGAGTCTGCTGCTGTTGGGAGAAGTCGATATCAAAGCCCAAATCCACACTGTAGGTGCGTGCACGAGAATGCCGTGGACTGTCTATGTTAGCTAGCTTGGGGGCACAAATGCCTCATTCGTGCCAAGATGGCGCTTCACAGCGAAGAAGGCTGCCTTGTGGCATGGTCTCAGTTCGTCACCAAGGCGAGCTGTACAAAGGAAAGCGGGGATGAGGACTGTGAGGACTCTGGAGAGTCCTCCAGATCTGGAGGACTCGAGGGCGGATGCATAAAACACGTCAGATGAATGGCGAGGCTGTTGGCGCGCTGGATGGCACGCATTGGGACACGTTGATGCATTCTCATACCAGAAGATGCCTCCTTAGGAGCTTCAACTAGGCTAGTGGAGAATGGGGCAAAGCTGTCATGGGCTGGCTTAACACATTGGCACGTCTTGCTCTTTTTCTGGGCATATTTTTTTGGAGGGTGGCCAATTGTTTAGGGGCCTTGCATGGCGGGTTGATCGAAGGGCAAGAGTGTGTTGTCCATGCAAAGTTAGCTTTTACCGCGCCGATCATAATACTAGCGATTGGCAGGAAGTGGGGATGGGAGAGTAGCGACTTTACCGCAGCATATGGCTTTCGGGGAGCGTTTACAGAATTTTTACGTGCATGTCCTGGATTCGTGGTATGTGGTTTCAGGTTGGACTAATGGAGAAGATTGTGGCGACCGTTGATGTGAAGCGCATATGCTTCTCCAGGCAGGATTCGGATGGGGATGAGTAGTTAGTTCGGGGCGATGGACTCAAGCGATGGATTTAATTGGTCTGACTCGCACATTCCGGGTCTTGAAACTTCAGGGCTGGTGACGAAAAAGGGCCGCTGTTAACGAGCAAATCAAAGCTGGAACCTAAATATAAAATATATGTGCTTGTTTTTTGTTGATTGTGGACTTGAGGTAGTTGATTTCGAGGCCATAGGATGCCAGCTGCCCATCACAATCGTGTGGAGCATGTCCACAATTGTGACGGGCAGCTATCTTCTCTATTCATTGCAGCCTTTGCAACGGCAGGAGCTCACGGACGGTAAATTGACAGCCCATGACGCCAATCGCGGCCTGCAAGCCGTGGAACAGCAGTGAATTGGGGGGGGGACCTGGGTGGATTGAGCTGATGGCTGATTGCAAGGACACTGTTGAGCTCTACAGTTACTGTGCAATAAATCCCGCCGCTGAAGATTATCGATCCGCGGATATCCAGGACGCGTCTTTGGGATGCCCACATTCATCCAGTGCACGGGCATTTGTGCCCACGTCCGCCTACTTGCAAATGAGATTCCGCAAAGCCGTCCCATTTAAGCGGGACAAACTGCTAAAATCGTAAGTGCTTTTATAGCGTATGTTTGAATCTCTCTCCATCTCGGCGGCCCATGTTGCTATTACCCCCGACCCGGCACACAACTGGGCTCATCCTCGTCCCCGAATAACTTGAGCTGCAGCTGGGCTGCGACCCCGAATCCGTGGCGCAGAGCTATAGTTACACATGGCGTGGTAATGAGGCAGATTGACGCAGATTGAGAACGACAGAAGTACGTTGGAAAGTACCTGACGGTGCTCTGGGGACTTATGCCCATGTGTCGGCCCTCGATCTGCACGGCGCGTAGTCTGAGCAGTCACGGGTGGACGCTTCTTCGCCATTCGCACAATCTTGTCCATGGGCGCACTTCCTCATCACTCGCGTCGCTGCCAGCCCGCGCGACCAACGCTATAGAGAATGCCATCTCATTCCAGTGTCTGCCCACCGTGCTCCCAGTCTTCTTCGCAGAGGATGGAACTTGAGCAGTTGAGTTTGCCGACAAAGAGGTATGTGCCGCGCGTTCCAACGGATCGTTCCGCGCCTGCATATGGGCCGCCTCTACGACACGGGGGTGGGTTGGACTCGCGGGCGACGCGGCTGTGGGCCTCTGTCGCCACGGTATGCCTCACAGCTGCTGTGGCTGTGCTGCGGCGCGGTGTCGGGCCCAAAGTCACGGAGATTTTGCAAATGCGTGATCAGCGGGGGGCCAGCCAACGACAGGCTGCCAAGACCCCGGAGGGTGCAGGAATTTAGGTTCGAAAGTACTTTGTGATGCTCGCGTTGCCCGAAAAGCCGCAGAGCAGCTTGCGGTGCTGCCGGCGCCGGCAATCGCTCTTCGGAACCTGCTTCCCTCGCCCGTTGGGAGTTTGAAGGGCAGGCTTTCCCATCAGCGCTGCTGCAGCGTTCGCGAGCAGGCGTTGCTTGCAATACACCCGCTCAGTCACGTTCTAAACCAAGGAAGAATGAGCGTTGACCCTGCGCTGCTGCATCGTTGCTGGGAAGGCCATGTGCAGGAGCATCGCTGCAGTGAGTCTAGAAAGGCGTTGCTGCGGGGTTGACCAAAGTCAGCGCTGATGGTGCTCTGGTGCATTGGCACGCTTGGCGCTGAGAACCTTTGCATCGTGTGCTCTTGTTGCCGCAAGACCTAGCTATATTGCTGCAAAGGCCGCCCAGATTTTCAGAAGCTGGTTAAAGGGCATTTACACACTGAAACAATGCCGCTCCTCAAGGCGGCCAGACACAGCCACCCGACTGGGACAAGTCAGACAACAAATCGGTGTATTTTGGATGCAGCAATGGATGCATCACTAGCAAAAAAAGGACCAAAGAACACCTTTGGCAAACACATATGAAATGCATTTCTTCAATGTTCTGCACGCTGAGAACACAAAAATAACCCAAACCCATAGACTTTGTGCATGCTTGCACACACATTATTTGGCCCATATTTCCCTAGTGCATGGTTATGCACAATTCTGTGCTGATCTGAGAGCTGTAGTTGTGTTACATGCTGTTCAGGGCCTAAACTGAACTGAATCGAAAGGAACAGAGATGGCTCACAACCCATATAGATCAACATAGAGTCAGTTTTCTTGTGTATAATTTGGCCATCAATGTATCAAACAAAGCAACTGGTGCATGGATCTTTACTCAGGAGCCTGTATGCAGAAGCATCCATTGCTTAACATGCTTTGGATGACAGGATGTGTGAGCCCGTGCTTCAAACATTCTTTCACAGGTGCAGGGAAAACCATATGTTACCAGACTAGTCCATAAAGAAGTGACTGTTTGCATCTGCACATGGAATAATATGCCATGGGCAGAACATGTTGAAGCCAAAAATTGATGGGCAAATGTTTTGTGAATTCATCCTGGAGAATGAGTTGTTCTCCTACAGTTGTGCAGCAAGACTGTACCGGTAGATTTTCGCACCTTTGCTTACATGGGCAACTTTGGGTGCAATCTTATAGGTGCTGTGTCATTTCCCGTTGCACTGGAAGACTTCCACATCATCACTATCAACAAGGAAAGAGTATCATGCACCTTTTTTGTCCACACGGGGTGCCCATTATTGTCTTCACTTAGACTCTGCGCATCATATGGTGCCAATCCTGAGGGTTGTGTGCTTTAACCCTGCCTTGCATCTGTCTGAACAAAAGACTTGTAACTAGTCCTATGCCACATGAGTCACAAGAGTCCCATGAGTACTCCTGGGCCCATGGAGCTCCATACCGAAGCCAGTGCCAACATGTTTGTAGGGTACATTTTGAAACTGTGATTGCCATCGAATGCACTTGCCACAGACACATTTACAAATACGCGCCAGCAGACACGGTGCAAGAGCAGCTCTTTGGTGCAAATTGCTTTTGTCGCAGCCACACGTGTGGGCATTCAACCTGAGCAAGCTTGCCAGGCAGGCTGGTGAGAAATCAGCGATAATCAGGTGTTCCCATTTATTAGTACTGAATGTTCGAAGCCACCTGCAGGCGCACACGTGGCTTATCCGTGCAGGCCACATCCGTTGTGCACCACGCCGCTCTTCACAAGCCAAAGCGCGCGGGATGCACGAGCGCAAACTTCCAACATCGCCTCAAATGCGCAAAGGCTCCGCGTCCCCCCCCCCCTCCCCCCCCGAAGCGCTGCCCGCGAATTTCCTAACCTGAATCACCTGTGCCACACTCCTGCCAATCACCTCACGTTTTCGCTCTCAACTTCGCACCAAAAGACGACCACGTTGCCCTCGATTGGTGTCCCGCTCCCAGCACCCCCCGGGCCGCGTCGCCGCCAGCACCTGCGAAGCCCCGCCGGCGCCTTCCGCGTGCACCGCCGCGCTCTCTCCTACAAGGTGAGGGATCGGCCGCAGGCCTCAGGGGCTCCCGCGCCGCCGGTGCACGAATAGGGCCATTGACAACAGTGCAATGGCATGAAACATGGACGTCAAGGGCCATGGGGCGAGCGCCACCACGAAAGGCACGACTGTACGCCCGTTGGCCAGCGTGCGCAACACCCAGCACCACCTAAAATCGCATTTGGAGGGCGATGCTCAGTTTTCTTTTTTTTGCTCTGGGGCGTTTCTGGAGTTGTGTCGGGGATGGGCCCTCTCCACGTGGAGTGGGAAGCGGCTATGAGGCCAGTTGGGCTGGTGGTGCCGCACCCAAGGGCGGTGCTGGGTGGGGGAAGGCGCTGGGATGCCGAGGCTGCCGCGAAGCCGTGGCCCTGTTTTTCGGTGGCCCCGCAACTTAAGTCGCCATTTCTCGCCCAGATTGTGGGCCATCGCCAAGGGGCGTTGACGAACAGCGCGCCAGGTCACGGATCCCAAAACCGCCGCCGCCGTGCTGTCCCCAATTGCGCTCCACGAGAGCCTTGAGCCGGAAAAATTTGTCATCCCCACCACAGGGACCATGCCGGGGAGCGATCGGAGATGATCGAGAGCTTGCTCCTGGCGCTGCGCCTGCTGTGTTGTGCTGGGGCACTAAGTTTTGAACGGCGTCAACCCGAATCGGGATGTGCTACCAAAGTTGGTTGTCCGCTTTCGGAGGAGAGACAGGCCGTCGGTTTTTCGCGAACGCTTTGTGCCCGTCGACGGCTTTGTGTCTCCGAGTGTGGGCCTTAGATTCGGCCGTTGGCGAAGTTGAAAGTGGGACGGCTGGCGCCTGTGGGCCGCGGGGGGCCGCAGGGCCCGCGGCAACAGCTGGGCCAGTTGCAAGGGGGGCGCCGGGGCATCTATGAAAATGGCATTAGATGAGCGGTGATGGCGTGTTGGGTGGTGAGGATGATGGGCGCGACACCGAACTGTGGGGTGCGACACCAGTTCCCCTCCAGTTTCGCCGTACAACGCTGTGAATCGGCATCCAAGCGGTGTTGTACCATGGCCTTTAAGTTCTTCCTCATGGTAAAGTAACGCTTGGTCTTTTTTGCAACAATAAAATAAATAACGCTCTTCTAATAAATTTTGTGCCGAGCAACATAAAAATAACTCTGCAGAACAAATGCGGAGAAAAGAGCGTAATGGGTAAATTTTTGGATGCGGAAGGGTTTAGAAAACAATGGTAGTCTGTTTGCGAAAGTTGTAGCTTTGTGAGTCATCAGTGTGCCCCAATCCACGAGCCCTAAGCTACTTTGGGTTTTGGTACATGGTACTACGCAGGAGACTACAGTTCCGCAGTAAAGCTGCAGCTTCAGCTCAAAGTTCAAGGGTGCAACGCTAGTGCGCCAGCGAGTGGATTCAAAATGTGGGCGTGTAGTATTGATGGGGCTGCATTCCATTAGCTGCGTTGCTCCAACTTGGAGTCAAGGGCGTCAGCTCTCTTCACATTGGGCACTGGACATGTACAACCTGTTTAGTTAGCCATCGTTACCTCGTCTGCATGGTCATCTTGGATTCGTGAATGTCGTGTTCTGTGCCTCTCTTTATGTATTATGTGCCAAGTGTGGCGTACCAGTGCCAAGTTGTCCTGGGCCACTGCAAGCGGATAAACTCATATTCGTGCAGCTGTGTTTGTTGAATGCGATGCGATTCACAGCGAACGAAGTACATGAAGTACTCATAAGAAGTGTCAATGGACTACATGAAGTATTCATAAGGATGCCCGTGTGCTTATATCTCGCTGCTCTAGTTGCCTGTTGCCAACTGTGTTGCTACATTGTGTACCTTGCTGCTCCTCTATCGGAAGTGCAGCTTACCGTGGCCATAACTCATGACACATTGCCTTCAATCGATTTCCATCTTGTCAATACCATTGATTCCCATCTCATTATCATCTCCTCTTTGCATTTGTCAGATGAGCCGTCTGCCAGATGATGCGGATTTCTCTCGTGGGAAGGACGGGGTCCTGAAGTTCAGAAATTGGGCATCGACCCTAAAGGAAGTGACTGTTGGAAGGAAAGAGGTTGCTGAACCAGTCACCGTGCAGGATATTCAGAATGAAGTCCAAAGCGTACTGAAAGCTCGTTCGGAAGGACAGCCGAACCTCCACCTGCGCCCAGTGGGAAGGGGCCACTCCTGGACTCCCGTGTTTCTGGACGATGGAGACTGGCTGCTGATGTCGGACAAGATGCGTCTGGATGATAATGACACAAAAGTTCGGATCCCGACCGACGAACCGCTGGCTGCTGATGGCATTCCGCTTGTTGAAGTGGCCGGTGGGGTGAACACCTGGGACCTCGCTGTTTTCATGGACGATCCGGAAAACCAAGCAAAGTTGAAATACATGGGCCTTCCTGCTGACGTCGTGCTGGACACTGTGAGATATGGCGGTGTCGTGAACATGGCATGCCATGGCACCGCATGGAATGAGGGCACCATTCCCGACTTTGTGCAGAGGCTGTCGATCGTGGATGGCTCTGGAATGCTCCGCAAGCTGGACAGGGACACGACAGACCCCGAGGAGTTCAGAGCCGCTGTGGCGAATTTTGGGCTGTTTGGCATCACGCACTCCATCACCTTCAAACTCGCCACTGACCCAGAAAGGCTGGCAACGCCCAGCCTGTTGGTTGAGGACAGGCTGGTGCCCATGGACACCTACTTCAATGCTGAGGGCTTGACGGGCACTGCACTCAAAGATTTGGCAAAGGAGAAGTATTCTGTTGAGTTTTTCTGGTTTCCCTTGAATGGGGTAGATGACAAACGGAGGCTTTCGGATTGGGATGCCTTCACCCAGGACCAATTGTGGGTGAAGACGACCGACCTGAGTGCCGACATGGAGAGGAACGGCAAGCCTCGGGAAACGTTCCCCGATGCGGCATCGAGGTTCCCATCTGTCACCAGCTTCCTGGCGAGAATCGGTTTTCAGTTGAATCAATTCCTTCAGGCGAAGGGCAACGTGGGATTGTACAAGCAGTATTCCAATTTCGTACTGGACCAGTCTGTGGACGAGGATGACAACCCAAAGTTGACGTCTTTTGCTGGTGGGATCCACTACCAGCTGGGGGTCGATGAAGTGAAGGTGTTGGATTTCGAGATGGCAATCAAGTTGGATGAGGATCTCACAGTTGTCAGCCAGGCATGGAATGCAGCCGTCAGAATCGTGAAGGCGTATCTGAGGGGTGAGCGAGGGGAGCCCAAGCACCCGATGAACATCGCGCTGGAGTTTCGATTCACAGGGCACAGCGATGCATTGATGTCCCCGGCCTATGGCAAGCATGGCGACCATTTTGTGTGGATCGAGGTGCTGGGAGTTACGGAGAGTGAGGGATGGCAGGAGTTCATGAAGGAGATCTTTGACGCCTGGAAGGTCATCTTGGGCCCCAATGGCGAAAGGCCCAAACCCCACTGGGCTAAGTGGACTCCCACAGAGCACGAGCAGCTCACAGAGATCGGAGAGTACGCCAAAGAGGTGTATGCCGACCAAATTGCAGAGTTCAACAAGCAGCTGTCCAAGTACGACAGCGAGGGCGTTTTCATGAACGACTTCTTCAGGGCGCTTGGTTTTGGCGCCGGTGCTCAGTAGAGTTGAGATGGGCAGTGGAATGGCCTTGGCCCACTGCGTCATTTGACGTGGCAACGTTGCCCTTTGTTTGGACATCTTTGCAATTAGTGCTCAGACATGACACGCGGCAGCAACGGCTGCAGAGCGATGGTGCAGGAGCAGCCTGCAATGGTACTGTGATGCCTGTTGTTTCTTGTGTGTCGCAGAACTGACTACATCGACTTTGAATTCATGGAGCTGGCAAACTTCCAAAGAAGTGCAGGAGGCTGGAATGGCCACTGTGCCTACGCAGGGTGACAGTTTCTGTGGCGAATGCGAATCTTGTTGTACTATTGTGATTTTGCCGTTGTAATTTGTATGTATCGTTGAGACATCCGCCTCCACCCCGCCAGAGCCCACCACATGCTGTTGCACCTTCCTCATAATGGCCACAAGATGAAGAAGATGATCGAAGATTGACGCAGGGAATCGTGCACGTGTGTAGAGATGGGCTGGTCACATCAAGATGTAAAGACGATCATTTAAAGCATTTGCAGCGGTAGTTCTCCACGCGCATGACCAACAAAACTAGCAACGTGTTTTTGCAGTACTTCCGTGCATTGGTTGCGTTCGTGATCTATTAAAAGGCAGCAGAACACTTTCCACTGTACTCGCAATAGTACTTAATGGTGGTTAGTGTAAAACTGGGCAGAAAACTGCTGCCCTCAGAACACACGAGATGCTAGCCCTAGGAGGGCTTCATTCATATACTCAATGTTCTAGTATTAGTCACACACATCAGGGCATGCTAGCCCTTGACCAACTTTCCACTCGTATTAAACGCCAAGGAAATATATTTTTACTACAGTTGTAAACATATACATGCAAACTACCAAAACTTCCACACTATAAATCTATCAGTGTGAGTAACTCAGACTGGGATGGACTAGTTCGACACTCACACACTGCAGCCCTGCAATCAGAAAACTTCCAAAGACTTTCCCACTATAGAAATATGCAGCATTCTTTCATGTCAGCACCTACCACATAGCTCTTATGCACACTTAACTGAACACAGCCCAAACTATATACATATACTATAGGTTACAGCCTCCATGCAGCAATTTGCATTCTGCATGTGGATAGACCCTTGGCAGGTATTGACCCTGCTCTTTGTCATATGTAATTATACACAACCTCATTTACCTCCTACTCCCAGTCAGACAGAACTGACCTTCAATGAATCCCCAATAACCAAGATGGTAACTCCCGTCTGACATGCACAAACTGTGCACACAGGGCTACCATATAGGTCACTAGTATCCATAGACCGAAACACAGAATCACAAGTCGGCAGCAAAGAGGCAACAAAGTCTGCATTGACTGGTGCTAGCTACAAAGCTCTGTTTGACAAAGGGATTGTGTTCCAAACTGACAACAACCCCTTTATACTCATTCTGACGTCTCTCTGCCTCTCCCTCTTCCCGTTCTGCCACTCTATTGCCCCAGACGAATTACGCCATGAGACCGGTACCTCTCACACCAGTCACAGCTTACCCTTAGACAACCTAACTACCCCGTTATATAGCACCGCATGCCCGAGTTCTGCTACACCCTCAATCCGCAGTCCACGCCCGTTTCCACTCCACGCTAGCTCCCACGGACTCCTCATTCTGCCTGTGCTTAGCCTTTGCTCCATCCCCACAATCCGACCTGTGAAGGCCTATACCCGAGTGTCCTCCGGTCCACTGAACTCTTCCCAATACTAGTGCAAACACCACAGTCCAGCGTCCCTATTGGCCTTGAAATCCACGACCATGAATACATCAAGCCGGACGAGGAGTACCTCTTTGCCAATTTCTTCCTTCAGCTGCGGACCCTTCATCTGCACTACATCCGCTCCGAGTTCCGCCAGCAAGTGCGCAACTGCCTTGAGGTACGCTTCCCCACTCAGGCCAGTTGCATGAACCTCCGCAGAGCGTGCATCAAGCTGCTCAGTCGCCGGCGGAGAGCTTGTCCCGTCAGGGCACACAACTCACTCCTTCAGATCAGATGGGCGGGTGCCTCTCATCTGCACCGCCGCACTCTCACAAACTGTGCCATCCCCATTCTGCTCCGGGCTCGCCTCCTTTGCACCGTCCCTCTCCACCATTCGGCCTCCCAACAGGCCCACCATTTTCTCCTCCCCCATCATAGGGGGTGGGGCCTTCCGATGGATGATGGCACACACCCTCCATTTCCGGTCCCTCCTGCACAACTGGCCAATATTGAAGGTTCCTAAGCGCGCTCCCGTTTCTGCCATTTCAGTGTGGAGGGTGTCGCGCCACTCCTCCAACAAAAGTGCGCCTTTGTCCGTTGCTGTTACGAATAGGATGTGGGTGTGGGGTTCCTGCCCTCTTTGAGCCGCGGACCCGCCTCGCCGGGCACCTAGGTCCTTACAGGGCACCTAGGCGGGACCACCCCGCCTACTCCCGTATCCTAATATGAATAAAGGTTACAGTGGGTGAGGAATAGTACGTGCCTTGGGCAGGGCGTCCCCCACACCAAGGGCCGTTAGTAGGACGTCTCCCACATCAGGCTGGTGCGCGTAACATTCGTCCCCCTCAGGGAGAGGGGCGTCCTCGTCCCAGTATAAGTGGATACGGGAGCAGAAATATTGTATGTATGTTGATGGAACGGGCTGTGCGATTTGCCACATGCCCAGTTAACAAAACACAACACACAAAACAGTTTTGGATGAAGAGAAAGAGTGGTTGTTTTACATGACCGTCCCGGCCTTCACAACCCTCATTAAAACTCTTCCTCAGCCAAGTGGTTGGAAATGTTTGACCTCCCGGCCTTTCATCGGCGACCACGATGCCGAGTACCACCAGCAGCCCACGCCGGTACAGATCGGCCCGGTGCGGCACCCCGCTGTCGCCCACGTCCGCGTGCACGCTCAGGCGCACGGGGAAATGGCACGTAGGGGTTGGCGGTGTCCAACCTCTCCCCGTTGAGGATGTTCACTGACATGGCGTTCATGTGGGCGAACTGTGTCCTCGCACGGGGGGCAGTATACCCAGTGTTTTTCTGGGCCCAGCGCAAGAGAACCTGTCAAAAGCATAAGCACACATGAGCATGTTTCAGTATGTACATCTCGTACTTCATGCAGTTTGCATTCGCATCACAGGTGTTCTGCCATTTTCAAACGCTTGAACCAATTCCTGTGCATTTGCAACTGACTTTGCTGATTCCCAGCTGTCATGCTCATGTCCATATCCCAGCCATTTGACAAGGTACTCAACATAGTTTTTGCGTCTCCCACGCTTTTTAATCCTTTTATCAAGGATACGTTCAACTTCATACTCCAGTTCACCTTCGATCTCGATAGGTACTGGGGGTGGCTGTACTCCGCCACTTGCCTTATAAGGCTTAATCTTCGATACATGAAATACTGGATGTATCCTATGCATGCTGTCCGGGAGTTCTAGTCGATATGCGACAGAACCTATCCGGTCGAGGATGGTGAAGGGCCCAATCCACCTCGGTAATAGTTTTCGAGTTCTAGGGTGTTTGAGAGTAATATGCTGTGTCGAAAGGAGGACGTCATCTCCTTTACTAAACGACACCTCTCTTCGATGGCGGTCAGCACGCTTTGACTGCCTATCTCGTGCTTTCTCTAAGCACGCCCTGGCCTCTTTCAGCGCTGATTGGACACGGTGATCAAATCGTGTCACTGCTGGTAATCCCTCCACGAGGGGTGTACCAGACTGCCTCAAATAAGGCTGCTGCGCCTTTCAATGGCCACTGCCAAGCCGCGGGCATTCGGATTGTCATAGCCCTTTAATGGCTTCCGAATTTGCACACCAAGAGCTAAGGGACTCTTTGGGTGCCTCCCGTAATTCTGATAGAACGGGGTTTCTTGGGTGGAACTGTTTTTCGAGTTGTTCATTGCAAATTCGGCCATGGCTAACAGTTCATCCCACGCGTCATGGTCAGAACGCGTATAACTGCGTAAGTAATCCTCCAGAACCCGATTCATGACTTCGGTCTGGCCATCCGT